TTTTCGATTTCGATTACTGTCGGGTAACTTCGCGACGCTTGAAATATTAATTATGTATCGAACGAAGAGCGCCGTAGCATTCCAACTTCGCGACGGAACTTTCCTCGATGCTACTCGTCGTCGTTTGCTTTCGACGTCGATCGCGTTTTTCTTTAAACCGCCGTGAATGCTCCTCGTGCACAAGCTCCCGTAAGTTTCCGTTAACGATTAGTCACTGTGTTTCCAGCGCCTTTTTGCGAAACGACTTTCCATCGAACGGAAATTCATCGGGGAAAGTTCATTCTTGGTACGTTTAGGACTTCGTTTTTTTAAACTCTGGAAGAAATGGAAGACGATTAGATTTTGCGTCCAATACGTTCTAATGAAAATACTGGAGCAATGTGACGTTAAATTATATTTTATTGCAACAGATTGTTCTTGGAGAAAATCTGAGACGATCGAGGGGGTTAAATCGTTCTTTGTCTTTATTGGAAACGCTCGAAATAAAGAAGAACTGCGCCACGTAATTGTCGTCGCGTTTTAAGTTCGATTCCCGGGCGAAGCGGGGCGAAGCGGGGCGAAGCAAATTGGTATAATACGACGAAACTCGAATGAAATTTCAATTATGTCGAGAAGAAGCTCGCTGTTGCCGCGACTCTCGATCGCTAATTCCCTCGAGGGCGTCCTCATTGAGCAGTTACAAGCTAGAAAGCACACAGAGTCGTTCATGGGACTATCGAATCCATCGAGTATCCGATTGCACGAAAGAAACGTTCAATTTGTGATACAATTTTTCGAAAAACGTTCCCAAAATCAGATGTTACGATCGACGATACGTCCAGTTCAAATATGCTTTCGTAATACGATTCTTAACTTACTTGTTTCGTCGAGTATCGCGTTTTCGAGGGGTAAGTTCGCGGAATAAATCGGCTGGAAGAGCGATGGATGTTTTTTCAAGGATATCGAGGACATCCACGCACAATTATTACATTCGACCAGGAGGGTTTCGTCGAGGACGCGCATAAATGGAAAGTTATTACGGCCAGTCGCAGTTTCATGGTCGGTAATCTATCATCATTCGGGTTTCGGTCAAGAACTTTTCGAATCACCTCCTCGAAAGTCGAACAGACCTTTCCACCTCGACTCGATAAAAAGTCATAAATTTATAATCCGACAGAGACCACCCCCGGAACGTCCTCGATTCGGAACAACCGATCGATCGAACGCGACAATATTTCCAATTAATTTCGAATCGTTCAGCATAAAATCGAGATTACTCGGTTACGCGAATCATGGACGAGTCCCTGTGTAAACGGGACGTTGTTATAACATTGCGGATTTTATGCATTTATGACGTACGCCAATATGGTAAACGTGTATAAACAGTACGATGGATACGTTGCATAAATTAATATAACAATATCAATATTTCACTTTACTCAAGTGCACGTATTCGCTCAGCGCCCTAAACGCATTAAATTTCCAGCCTAGTCGGACGTGTACCGTGGCGGGAGGCATTTTATTTACACCTTTTTGCCGATGCTATTAGTCTTCCATTTTTGTCGATCCCTATGGCCGCGTAATTAATTAACGTGATCATTGATATTTTCCAGCGATTCCCTACAGGCGTGTAATTACTCAACGTCGTGCCTAAAATTATTCAAAACGTGACGGTTTTTGAAAAAAAAAACGTGTTTAAAAAGCTGTTGCAATTTTAATGTTCCCCCGCGTTTATGAATTTTTAATGGATCCGATTTGCATTTTGCGAATTTTCAACCGGCGATTAACACGTAACGTTTGACATTCATGGAATGATCCACGTAGATGATTTAATTGATATCGTAATTCGCGAAACGAATCGACGCGGAATAAGTTACGAGCTTCGTTAAAAAGTTAATAACAATAAAATTCAAAAATTTTTCAAATCGTTTTGGAAAAATTATTTTCGGTCGCAAGGGTCAATTACAATCATTTTTGGTCATTACACATACCCCTGAAAACCTACAAATTTTCGAGAAAAAAATTCGAGAAGATGTGAAATTTTTCGACGGGAAAAAAAATTTCAAATCGTTTTGGAAAAATTATTTTCGGTTGCGGGGATCAACTACAATCATTTTTGGTCATTACACATACCCCCGAAAACCTACGCACTTTCGAGAAAAAAATTCGAGAAGATGTGAAATTTTTCGACGGTAAAAAAAATTTTCAAATCGTTCTAAAAAAATTATTTTCGGTTGCAGGCATCAATTACAATCATTTTTGGTGAATACACATACCCCCGAAAACCTACGCACTTTCGAGTAAAAAATTCGAGAAGATGTGAAATTTTTCGACGGTAAAAAAATTTGTCAAATCATACTAAAAAAATTATTTTCGGTTGCGGGGGTCAATTATAACCATTTTTGGTCATTACACATACCCCCGAAAACCAACGCACTTTCGAGTAAAAAATTCGAGAAGATGTGAAATTTTTCGACGGTAAAGAAATTTTTCAAATCGTTCTAAAAAAATTACTGTCGGTTTCAGGCATCAATTACAATCATTTTTGGTGAATACACATACCCCCGAAAACCTACGCACTTTCGAGAAAAAAATTCGAGAAGATGTGAAATTTTTCGACGGTAAAAAAATTTTTCAAATCGTTCTAAAAAAATTACTTTCGGTTGAAGGCATCAATTACAATCATTTTTGGTGAATACACATACCCCCGAAAACCTACGCACTTTCGAGAAAAAAATTCGAGAAGATGTGAAATTTTTCGACGGTAAAGAAATTTTTCAAATCGTTCTAAAAAAATTACTTTCGGTTGAAGGCATCAATTACAATCATTTTTGGTGAATACACATACCACCGAAATCCTACCCACTTTCGAGAAAAAAATTCTTTACCGAAAATACAATGTCTGACCATGCGTTGATATGTTTCACTGAAATTTCATGCGAATGTTTAAAACATCATAACTCCTGAACGGTTTGGACGATTTTAATGTTTCAAGCGGCAAACAACGCGTATTTTAACGAAGAATATGTAGAAATTCCAAAAATATTTAAAATTTTGCTCCATAACCCTGTAAAGTGAGCGTAACTATGAAACTTTTTATGAAACTGACAAATGTTTAACGTTTTCCGAAAATGCGGTTCTTGAACTAATTCTGGTACAAATATCGCGTGAAAATAATTCTTAGCTTCACGTATGGATTTAGAAAAATAATTATTTGTTACAAAATGGTGGAACTTTGCAGGGAAAATCTCAAGAAACAAAATCAATGTTTCTTTTAGCACCAGGACGAAACTAATTACTCGATCGAAAAATCCTTAAATGCAATTGAAGGGAATGGTATTAGGAACCCGTAACTAAAATTAGAAACGATTGTACCGGGCGATCGGATCGAAGTTCGTTCGGTGAAAGTCTTTACGCGTTGTTCCCCGACCGGGCGATATAATCGCGACAAGATTACTCTCGGTGGACGAAGCACAACGAAGCTGCTGCACTCAAACGGCGGGATAATGTCGTTTCACGGTGGACTACGAATGTTACGATTCCACGGCTGGCGCATTTCAAAGGGAAGCAATACGATGGAGCTGAAAGGCGTGTTAAGTAGCTCATCAATCATGCATACAGCGAGGCCGCTTTAAGGCGAGCAACGGAAGAGGAGGCAAAAGGAATCGTCGACTAGGCTAGGCCAGCAAGCTAGGCGCTAATTGCTTCCTAGGGGAAAAAGGAGCGACTCGAGCGGGCAGAAATCTGATCTAAAAATGGCTGGATTCGTTCCTTGCTCGCGTTCCGAAACATTCGTTTCTCGTTGTTATTTAAAATCCAGCACCGGACGGATCGAGCTCGCGCTAAATATAAATATAGCGACGCGAACGAGTCGATTGCATTTGAGGAAAGTTTTTTCGAACTCTGTTTATTGTCTACTTTAAATATATATTGGTATACGAATATACACCCGTAATCACCCCTTTATTCGGAATATCATCGAATCGATGCGTCGTTACCTCTGTTTTAACGAGGAAACGAACGACGGATCATGTAAAATTTCGGATCCACAGGTCGGAGAAAAGCGCAAAAAAACGGCTAGCGATCGAATCGGATTCAATTGGCCGGTTAAGAGGAGTCGTGTAAACCGTTCAAGTTGTTCCCCGTGTTATATTGATTTCACCAGTACTTCTCGCGACGGATCCGTTAATTGCAAACTCTTGTCGGCGTCCTGACGCTTTGCATAAACGAACGTATCGTTGGAAAACGTCCGAGGCGGGATCGCGGAACACGGGGATGAATAGAGCTTTTCACGCGGTCGGCGGCGGGTGGGTGGGGATCCATTGAAAGTTTTTCGCCGTGTTACGATTTTGCTTATTGAAACGACAACACGCGGATAGAACAATGTAGTGTCTCGACAATGTTTCGCGTTTGTACAGCGACGGTGCGGAATTATTCAGAACGCGCGCGAGTACCGTTCGATATCGTCTTGGTGGATTTACACCGGCTACGAAGCGAAAAATAATGCATCAAAGGGACTGCTCGAGTCGAGGGAATTCTTTTCCTCGTACGCTTTTTAAAGTAAGTACTGCGCGTGCGCGAGAAGTTGGCTATGGGGCGTGTAAGCTGGCTCCACCAATAGAAACCGTGCGGTGGGTCAGAGTGGGGACGTGAGCGCCAATCAGACCCTCGTTCCTCTCGCTTGGCAACTTCTCGCGTAAGCACAGTACGATAACTCGACAACTTTTGAGGATACAACAGGTGTCTGAGGTATACGAGTAAATGGTTCGTGAAATAGTAGAGTTCTTGATACTAGAACTACCAAACCAGTCGAAATGATCCATAATTTCTAATAAAACTTGTAAAAAATTTACTCGACTGAATTTTCGAAAATTATAAGAGAATATATAAACACTTATTTCCATTAAATAATATATTTCTTCGCGCATCTATCGTTTCAATTTCTTTGGTAGAAATAAACACACTGTAATTGTCTGTAGTTCTAGTGTTAAAGAACCGAATGTTTCGACGTTACGTTTCAGGACGCGCTGGTGAAGAGGCTAGGCCCCAACGCCCACGCATTTACTATGGAAATCACACCGTTGGCACCCCCCTCGGTGCAGTTGGTGCCTGCGAAGGAGTACAACGGAGCACCGATAGGAACGAGCTACGACGTCAGAGCTTACGTCGGTGAGTGAAACGAATCGTGATGTTATTTTTAATATTTTTATTCGCTATAACACGGTTAAACAAACCTCCGAATCTCAGGGACGCGTTTCATTACGATTTATATAGAGTCTCTTGAACGAAACGGTCGCGCGTCGAGGTCCCCAACTTTAGCAGTTTTTCTCGAAACTACTAACGAACCAATTTACGCTCAATTTTTGTGTACAAACTATATATCCGCCTTCACCGCCAGAACTCCAACATAATAACGAGTAATCCGATTTTTAACCGGGTAAAAAATTCTTTCGCTTTTTTCCTCCCCCTCCCGTAAAATTTCGTCACTATTGTTTCCGTGCGTCGTTCGATATTTATGTTTTCGTTGTAACCCTGGCCATACTACGGCGCGAAACAATGCGACTCTTTCGCCAGCGGATGAATACAATTTAAAAGTTTCAAAACACGTGCAGTTTTCCATCGTGGTCCCTCGTTATTAAAAAAAAAAACTGTACAAGGTTCTGAAACGAAGCGCTATCGACGATGTTTGAGCGGAAACTAGATGGGGGAAAAAACACTGTTTTTCAGCGTATCGGGTTACAACACCCCCGTTTAGCGCGCCTTGACGCCGGGAAAACCAATTTAATCCCTTGCGTCGGAATGACGTGTGTGGCTTTGTTGTTCGAAACCAATACGTCGTGCACCGACTTTGTTGTTTGAAAGCAACGCGTCGCGTCGCGAACGAGCTACGTGTCCCAACCTTGCACCGGAGATACGACGCCAGCCTGTTGGTACACGTGGCTAAAAAGATCTTCGAACTATCGTAACATCTTCGTTTTCCCCTGACAAAGAAATTCCAGCGAAAATTCGACCGATAAAATCGCGACGAAATTACGGGAAGAACGGATCCGTTCTTTCGACGTCGATTTCCGGGACTTGGAGAGCTGGAAGGACGAAAGCAACGGAGGGAGGCGGGGCTGTTGATTGCGTATTTTATTTCGCTTCTACGGCTCCGCTTACCGTGCACCGTGTTTCGCCTCGATTTCACTTCGCAGTTTCGGTTTAAAATTCCCAGCTCGTCCGGTTGCTCGACCGTGTAATATTATTGCGTTCGCGTTGTAAATTAAATTCTGTTCCTCCAAGCGCACGTTAGGAAAAAGATAAAAAAAAGATCCGTCACGAATCTCTGGCGCGGAGAAAGAGTCTCGTTGGACATTTTTCCGACGATGGTAATTTCCGTAAACCATGGGCGAGTTATAGGGCTTGTTAAACAGAGAAATATCGATAGTCGTCCTAATCGTAGTTTTCGACGGGTTGAAACGCAGCTGAACGAGCTGATGAGAAACTCCATCGGAAAACGACGGTCAGGATGGGCATTAGGGTGATACAACGGACCACGAGGCCACCTCTGCCAGCCACCACTGTGTACAGCGTGCCCGTGACCACGACTTCCTCCGCGGGGTCCAGGACCCAACCGTGTCAAGCCAGGGTCACGTTCGCGGAGAACGAGATCGCGGAAGACGAGGGTGAGTTCGAGGTTCCTTAACTACTAGTCGATTAATCGATATCTGGGAGTCGAACGATCATCGACTGGTAATCGATTAATCGACTTTCGGGTGACCAACGATTATCGACTGGTTCTCTTGATCTGAAATGGCAAGTTAAGGGATGCAAATTCTTGAAGCCTCGCGCTATCGATAGATTCGAATCCTAGGATTCTGACTTCAGAAAACATGGGACCACACGCTGCAGTGGAGAAACCGTTTCTATTGAGCGACGGTCGCGTGGGGTTGGAAGGAAGGCTGGATCGGGCAGTTTACGGCCACGGTGACTCCATTACGGTTCACGTCGGTGTCAACAACAATAGCAGTAAATCTGTTAGGAGAATCAAGGTGAGACCTTTCGCCAAGCTATATGCATCGTCGATCGAACGACAGCCAATACAATAACAAATTTCTTTAGAATTTGAAAGTGCACGGTAACCCTTGACTTTAATCTACTCCGGTGATAGGAACACCTTTTAAATTTCGCCATTTCGACCATGCAAACGAACCATCTCCGGAAGCAAAACAGTTTAAGGAACAGGGGAAGTATTTCGCAATCGACGGGGCGGAATCCATTTGTATCCATTCTGCTCGCAGAGCCGTTGACCTTTTCTAGCCACAATTTCAAACGGCTCGATCTAGTTTCATATTTAACGGATTAATCGGCGGCATCCCGCGAGTGTCGTTCGTTTCCACCGTGAGCACACGAACGCCCTAATAAGGTCACGGTAACGAACCCACTCCCGGACGAGAACCTAATCGAAAGAAAGAGTTGCCCCGTTGACGATTATAAATTCGCCCAGCTATTTCCAGATACGAACGCGAACGTATTATTATTGCGGAAATCAGTGCTCTCGTTAAGCAAACGCTCACGAGAGAAGAACGTTACGCGTTTTCTCCTCGACCTTTCCATCGTCTCGAGTTTCCCCCACGATACGAGCCATTATCGCGGCGGGAACAATCGTTTCCAGGGAATTAAACGTCATAGCGATAATGTGGATCATCGAAGCAGCGTTAAAAACTTCGTCACGAGAGTTTTAAAACCTTCTGCTACGAATTAACACGTCACCTAACGTGCTCGCCACCAGAGGGCTACGCTCTAGTCTTTCTCGCTAGCGCTCGACCTATCCTTTAATGCGTTATCTTTATAAAATTATTCCATTACACAGTTGCAATTGTGATTTAAAGGGGGAGTCTCATACGAGACCTCAAAAATATCAATTTTTCTTTTTACTTTATTTTTTGAAAGTATATATATTTAAGAATGTACTGTTAAATTTTGAAAGATAAATGTCAAGTATTATGGATTGTAGAACATTTTTTGTATAGCCCAGACATTACTGTTTCGAAAAATTTACGACAGGATCAAGAGACATTTGCTGTTATGAAAATTGAAATTTGAGTGTTTTCGTCATCTTCTGCTACGAATTAATACGTCACTTCCCGTGCTCGCCACCAGAGGGCTACGCTCTCGTCTCTCTCGCTAGCGCTCGACCTTCCATACATTATCTTTATAAAATCGCTTCATCACACAGTTGCAATTGTGATTTAAACTCCAAAGGATCCCGGATTACGTTTTCAACTCGAAAGCTCGGGTAGCTCGTTGAACAGGATCGCGGGAGATATTAATGGTCTTAGCATTAAGCCGGACACAATTTCATTCGCGAAACACGGGAGCAGAAACTCGGCGTAATCTGGCTGCGAATCACGGATGAGAGGGAGCCCGGAAATGTTCTGGTTCGCGGTTTAATAAGGGAGCACGCGTTACTACATTTCGCGTATCCGCCGGAAGTTCCGCAAATGTACGCGTAACTTCCTCGATTGGATGTGGAACGAGTCCCAGAAGAAAAATTCGGAACGTTCCGAGCCGGACAAGATTCCATGCTCCCCTGATTTCGGTCCCTGACTGTAAATTTCGCAGATAGAAATCTTAATTGCCCGGGAGACGAACTTCGCTTCTTCGGTACCGGGTCGTTTGAACGAAACGATCGTTTGCATCCATGAAAACGCGGCCTGAATTCAAATAGTGGATTGGGAATTACGGTGGACTTTGAATTTATTATGATCGCCGTTGAGATTAGGGACCGAAAAAAAGATATCGAAAATGGAGGGAAATAAAAGTATCTCTGTTCGATAACTGTGCCTCCCGTGGACCTTAAAATTCGAAAAAGAAATACCTTTTAACGTGAACGTGATAGAAGCATTGCAACGACGCGCTCGGGATAAATAGGAACTATCCAGGAATTTCGTTCCCCCTTCGAACGGATCGCCAAGGGCACCGTACGTTAAACCAATTAACTTTTTTCGCGACACCGATATCTCGAATACTCCGTTAACCAAGTTCCAACGAGTATATTCTATTTTGATAATAACAAAAGTGCTGGAACATGTTTGGAAACGATGACAAAAAAAGGCAGAGTTTGAAATCCCGTTCTACCGTAGTTTGTCCAACTTGATAAAGTATACAGAGTAATTTTAGAAACTGGGACAAACTGTAGTTCGTTTCTAAGCGTAGATATAAAAAATTGATACGGGGGAAAAAATGTACCGGGAGATATAACACTGAGAACGTATAATATTATATTTCATATTTTATTCGCGACGCAACCGCCTCTTGCGGGCTGATAAATGCACTAAAGGTATTTCCTCGCGGATAGTAGAGCAAATACGCGGGAATTGCCAAAGAGAAAAGTACAGTCGTGGGAGAGGCGCGCGAGAGTGACATAATTTCGGTCGAGGAACAGGCTCAAGAGGGTGGAACGAATGGAAGGGGATGAAAGGTGGCGGGGCGTGTATTTCCTCGGGCGACAGAAAGGTATTCGACGTACGTATAAAGCGATCGCGTTCGCGTCGATTGCCTTTGCATCGTGGTTCGTTAGCGACCGTGGAGAACATTGTTCAGAAACGGGAACAGACAGGCCTGATACGAGTTCGGGAACATGTTTGCGTTAACTTTGCCCCCGACAGTTCGGTAAACAGATCGACAAACCGATACCACGGCAACCCACGTCGCGCATAAAACGAACTAATCGCGTTTGCCGCCCAAACCCAATAAATACTCGACAAACGCGAACGGTACGCGGCGAGAACATATTTCTACAAGCTATAAAACAGTGTATGTTCGGTACCTTCTTTGGGACGCAGGCCACGCTGGGTTGGGAACACTAGATTTACGATCTTACGGGTTTTAGGTGTTGGGTTAATAACCACACAACCACTGAGTAATAATTAATCACGTTGTATTTTCTCTGCTTGCGTTTACAATATGCACATGGCTGGGAACTGTCTCTCTGCGCCGCCAGACGGCGCTGCACTCGCGGTCTCTTGCAGAGTTATCGCTACATAGATATTATACTTATACGAAACGACGTCCGTTTTTATACCCTTCCTTGTCTTATAATTGAAAAGACGTAGGAACGCAGGTCCTGTCTGTCTTCGTTTTCAATTGCAAGACAAAGAAGAATGAGTAAATGTTGTTAGCAAATTTATGTTAATTAAAAGAAACATCGCGTTTTAATCTAACCATCAACGTGACGTGCAGTTAATGTCTGTAAATCTAGCACTCTGTGACGATAGTTCTGGCATTCGTCGACAGAGGGCTACACTCACCCTGTACTCTATATACTGTCTAGGGTATTTTTTAATGATGAGCCCACTAGCAGGCCCCAAGGACCAAGACTGCTGGTCTCTCTAAACCGATTAATCTCTTTCTGTTGTTACGCTGACAGGTGTTCATCGTGCAACACGTGGACGTCTGCATGTTCAGCAACGGGAAATTCAAAAACGTCGTGGCTCTGCTGTCTTCGCAGGAGGGCTGCCCGGTGGGGCCCGGGGCATCGATGAGAAGAAGCTACACCCTCCGACCCGTGAAGGGTTCGACCAAAAATTGGATCGCTTTAGAGGACAGTTATGCGAAAGCAGGTGCCACTCTGGCCTCGACGGTGATCTGTCCTGGAAACGGGCCAGAGGACAGAAACGTTTTCGCGATATACGTCTCGTACTACGTGAAGGTAACGCGTTTTCAAAGTGCACGGGGAAAACTATTACACGAGCACCGTTTAACCAAACGTTCGATAATCCAAACATTGTCGTGCGCGAAAACGAAAATAAACATAGACGAGGCCGGTTTTCATAAGCGCGATTAGGTGTATAATTATGGTTCTTAAAATAACATCGTTCAGAGGCATTATTCGTTGCTTCGAAAGCAGACCTTGGGTATACGAATGCATAAGAAAGAAAACAACTATTGAAATAACTATATTAGAAATTTGTACAGATAGGTTAGAAAGGATCGAGAAAATAGAATGACCAAGTTTTCGTTTCCCCAGGTGAAGTTGTTAATCTCGGCGATGGGAGGGGAAGTGTCCCTGAAATTGCCGTTCACGTTGATGCATAGTAATACGGACCCAGATCTCGTTGGCTTTCCGTCCCCGATCAGAGAGACGGCGAAACTGTCGGGGAAAATGGCCGACGAGATCACGGACACCTTGGAGAGAGCAGACGACAACGGGCACAGATACAAGACCAGCAAACTGGAACCCATTAAAGAGAAATCGAAGGAGTCGAGGGACATCGACGTGGATCTGATAGAGCACTGCGAGGAGGTCGACAGTACCTGAGGGCAGGTGCAAACAACGGAAGTGACGCGATCGTCAACGAGAAACAACAGTGGCGCGAGAAACGTGAAGAACTCGCACCACAAGAATTGCAAACTGGGCTTTAATATTCAGAGAGCTTGGTGCTGTTTCAGAAGGGCATCTTAGTAAAGGAAAAGAAATATTCCCGACGAGCTTTCTATGCAGACTGGAAAGAAGACGAGGAGGATCTTTGACCGAGAAGCTACACGGAAGCGTTTAAGAGGATTCGGTTAGATAGCGTCGCCTTTGCTATTGACGAGAACGACGAATGGCAACGTTTCGTTCGTGAGCCTTTTGAACGTGAAAACTTTTTATCAATAAATTTTAAAAGTCAAGATCTACGTATCGTTTTCTCCTCTTCTATCGATAAAATGTATTCCTGCGTCGCAAGAGAACAGGAAGCAGGATACTTCGAGCGTATATTCTTTATAAATTGAATATTTATAAGCACGACGCCGACAAACGATTCCATTTTTGCCGATAAAAGTGCACTATAGACTTCGTGCGGTTCCTACACACGATATTTCTAAGATGAAAGTCATACTGCCCTCCTAACTATTCGCGTAACCCGAAATCATGTCGCTGTAAAATGTACTCATCCAAACACACGCATTTACGAGTCAATTGTAAACCCCCGATCGACGAAAGAAATGATCTCAAATCTATTTTTTTAGGCAACAAAACGCGTTATGTTACCGGGGCTTAATATTTATTTGCTTTGAAAATGAATGTTCGGTGTAATTGAAATAAATAATACTTAAGTCACTGTTCCTCCTAAGATAAGATAGTCCAGCCTAAACAATGTACTTCCGTTGTACATGGCAAGCACATTGATATGTAAAGCTGTACAGACTGTATCTTTATCATTGTAAATAGTAAATTACTCGCATACGGCTGTGTAAGAGTATGCATGGAACTATTGCCTAATGTTATTATACAGCTTTTAAATAATTTATGATTAAACAACATTTTTGTGTAAAATACGCGTGTAATTGTGATTTTCATTATTCGACTAGAGGGAACATGCAAACAAATATGTAATTTATATCGGACTAATTTGTATTAAACTGAGGCATCCTTGAATATGTGGGCCAAACAAATACAATGCTGTGTATAGAAAATAAATGATCAATGGTACTTTTATGATTTTAACATGAAGTTCAACTTCAAAACCTGATGAATTAAATGAATTTAAGAAGATACAAATAATATGTATACTAAATATACATGTTTAAAAATTAAAAAAAAAAAAAGTTTCTCTAATACAGTGTTTGAACAAAACAGTAAGAGCATTTTATGTAGATCACTCACCATGCCATCTTGCCCCGATATATCCCCGGACGATAAATTTGCTTACATTCTTGTCTTTGTCCTCTACTTTTGCCAAAATATACTTGAATTTCCCATGAATGTCGATATCCACATCATCCAACGCATCTAACGACTGAGACATTATGCCAAATCGTCTATTATTCGTAAGCACTGCAGAAAAACACGACATCGTAAAATTAGCAACATTCTTCCTTCAACATAACCTATCGTTATGGAAGAAGTTTTTATCGACTATATTCTATCGACGAAAGTTTGCCAACGAAACGTTTAAAAGGGAAAAATTAGATGATATTCGAACATCACTGTAAAATATACAAGAAAGGATATTATAACGTAATTTTCGACAAATACCTTTGAAAAACAAATGGCGGATATTTGATGCTCCGTTTCCAAAACTATTGAACGTCGCAGTCATATTATAGCTACATTTACCAAGCAATAATGCATTCGCTGACACGGATTCGTACCGCGTGAGGAGAAAATCACCAAACTAGCTTCCCCTCCATGAAATGTTAGATGATTCATTGTCACCAGAAGATAAAATTTAACACTATTACGATTTAGACTCATTTAGACGATTTAGTTTTGGTTATTTTCAATTGCGAGACAAGGAAAGGACTTACCTGTCAGTCCTTAAAAGGATTTACCCGCCATTACCAGATTTACCCGCCAAAACTAGATTTTCCCGCCAATTTAAGCCAAGTCCATACGAGCGTCGAAACGACGAGTGTTTCTATGTTTTTACTTGTCTTGCAATTGAAAATAACCAAGATAGGCTTAATAACCAAGCAACCTTGTCGTGCAATTGAAAATAACCAAGCACAAAAAATTCGATTTCGAAACTAGATTAGAAACTAGTTTGTTAGTTTGTTAGTTTGTTAGTTTGTTAGTTTGTTAGTTTGTTAGTTTGTTAGTTTGTTAGTTTGTTAGTTTGTTAGTTTGTTAGTTTGTTAGTTTGTTAGTTTGTTAGTTTGTTAGTTTGTTAGTTTGTTAGTTTGTTAGTTTGTTAGTTTGTTAGTTTGTTAGTTTCGTTGCTCATATGGACCCGGCCTAAATTGGCGGGTAAATCTAGAAATGGCGGATAAATCTAGTTTTGGCGGGTAAATCCTTTTAAGGACTGACAGGTAAGTCCTTTCCTTGTCTTGCAATTGAAAATAACCAAGCAGACTTTGTCGTTTCGTTGCTCATATGGACGCGGCCTAAATTGGCGGGAAAATCTAGTTTTGGTGGGTAAATCTTGTATTGGCGAGTAAATCCTTTTAAGGACTGACAGGTAGGTCCTTTCCTTGTCTTGCAATTGAAAATAACCAAGATTAAATTGTCCAAATAAGTCGAAATTGTAATAGTATTAAATTTTGTCTTCTGGTGACATGAGTCATCTAGTTTTGGCGGGTAAATCTAGTAGTAACTTTTGTCTCGTGTGGCTCCAGCCTTAAAGGCTTCAGATTATATCCTTAAAATTGCAAAACTCGATAAATATTATTTGTTATCAATTTATGTCGAATTTGATGCAACAAACACTTTCATCATATCAGAGGAGGGTCAGATGCAACAACTTTTTAATGCAGATAAAAAATAAAATGAAATTTTCCCCTCATGCTTCACACATGTTTGATAGATAATAATTCCTTTAAATCTTATAAAGTGTTAACGCTAGACGAAAGTAATTTGTTATAATAAATGGAGTTCAGTTTTGTCGTGTAGCCACAGAATCTGTGGTGTAGCTATCTATATTTGTATGATTGCTGCTTAGGTATAACGATGTTCCAGTGAGGTTAATCGAGAGTTACTTTGCAAGTAGTAAATGCGAATTTTAAAAATGGCATTTCAAACAAAAACAGTGATAGCAGACGTAAACGATGCAAGAGTCTTGTATAAAGCGTTATGCGGCGTATTTACGATTTATAAACCCACGTACATGTGTTTCGAAAAAATGAAATACACACTGATCTCCAATTTATGCAGAGGTTATATCATGATCCGTATTTAACCGAAATCGTTAGCACTTGAATGCATAATCCGTTCTTTCTAGATCTTAACAATAAAAATGTACGACCGCCAGTTAAATATGTGAGCATAGACGGTCCCACTAACAGCCATATGAGAGTTCAGACACGCTATAGCTATTCGGACAATACGTTGGTTGTAGGACCTCGTTATCAAAAACAAGATTTTATATTAGGAGCTTCGAGAATCGTTCTAGCGGAAAGCAGTGGTGTTGTAGTCTGCGGTATCAACGAAGGTACTTCGTTTATAAAATCGATGAGATACTCGAATTTTACGAAGTTTTACAAGGTAAAGGGTTTATTGGGCCAAGCAACAGATACTTATTTTCATACTGGAAAAATAAAAGAAAGATCTACGTACAATCACGTGAAAAGAGGTCACATTGACAGAATATGCAATTCGATGCAATCTTCTCATCAAAGAAAGATGTTCGAGTATGTTGGAAATTTGTTGTCTCTCAAAAATTAACAGATCTAATTATAATATAACAGCTGTACTTTTAAACGATTTTAGACATTGTGGAGTTGATATACAGAGTCAAGCAGCATATGATTTAGCAGTGAAAGGTCTGCTTAGGCCGGCAGATCGTAAAATTCCTATGATATACACAATCAGATGCATAGACTTTTCACCTCCTGAGTTCACTCTGGGTAAAAAACATTCTGTTAAATGGAAACTTAAATTGGTAGAAAGTTTCGCTTAATTACTTCTTTTTATAATTTTTACAGAGATTGTCTGTATAAATGAAGATGAAATGTATTTGAAAACTATAGTTCATGATGTGGGAATAAGACTTCATAGCACTGCTACTTGTACCCAAATAAACTGTCTTCAAGATGGATTATTTAATGCCGACATTGCGTTATTAAAAAAACACTGGACCTTGTATGATATTTTATCGAATATGCAAATGTGTCATAGAATCATTCAAAAGAATAAAAGTGTACTGTATAAAGGTAGTCCCACATTAATGGAGTACGATACTGATAATGTAGCCAAATCTCAAAAAGAATTGGAACCGTGAATATATGTATTTTAATATGATTGTTAAAAATTTATTGTACCCATTATATTATACATTCGATTAAAAATTAATTTGTACCATTAGCTATGCCTCGCTTCGACTTCTTTTAGAACGTTGACTGCAATCGGAATCGTCGTGTCTATCCGTAGGTTTCATAGACTTTCCCCGCGTCTTGTGTTTGTTCGGCCATTGTTGCATTTTCATGCTCTTCGCTATTACGCGTTTTTGATGGTCTAATTGCGGAAACAAATCTGCAAAATAAATTAGTAGAATATAAATTGCATTCTCGAATTTCAATTGAAATTATTTGATCTGTACCTTGAGATTTTTCTAAAGCTTCTTTAGCCGAGTTCATTTCTGCTTCTTGAATACTATGACCCGAAGCTTTTGCTAATCTTTTCCCTTGGAAATACACAGCAACGGTGTACACTCTTGTATTCGTTGGCCCTTTACACTCGATCACTCTGAGAGAAGGTGTAAGTTCACTATTAGCTCATGATGATATATTTGAACGTCGTCTAATTTTGTTACAACTTACTTGTACACAGGAATATCAGGCTCTCCGCCATCCATTGTTCTTAACGTCAGACAACACTGTTGTAATTTACTTTTTGGATCGTTCCAGTCTTGATTCATAATGAAGTCTTGTAAACGCGGGAAGAAACATACGTCGCAGAAAACGTGACAATATTCCAAGCCCTTGTCGACGTAAAGAGCTCCTAAAAATGCTTCCAGCAAATCTGCTCTGTCTTTTGTTTTCAGTTCAGCCTTTGGATTACCGTAGAGCGCATACTGAGTCATCCCTAAATCATCGCACACGACTGCTTGTGTTTTATTATTTACAAGAGAACTTCGTAAAAGCTATAAAATAAAGATGTTACTCCTTGTAATTTATGAGAAAAAAATTTCAGCAACACTTACAGATAAATGCCCCTCGTGATGTTCTGGAAAATATTTGTACAAATATTCGGAAACTATGAGTTGTAATACGGTGTCTCCTAAAAATTCTAATCGTTGATTAGAACCCAACGTTAGGTTCGTGTATCCTATACTGCGATCGGTAAATGCTCTTGCTAGAAGACGTATGTGGGTGAATTCTATACCAATGGATTCTTCGAACTTTGTTAATTTCTGTGTAAAGAAAATGGAAACGATATTAAATGATACTCTAGAGATAGTGTATTTTTAAATATTGACAGTGTTTACTTACTTGCAAGAGTTCAAAGCTTGGTATCCATTGCCTGTCGCCTGTTGGTTCCTGCTCTTGCAGAGGATGTTTAGGATAATTTACCCAAACTTTTGAAAGATCTTCCTCGTCCTTAAAAAGCGTTTCTCCGAACACTCTATCGGCGACTTCTATACCTCCGTCAAGAAACAGGGACCCCATCAACGCTTCGAAACAATTCGCCATCGCGTGTCTCAATTCCAAATCATGACATAGATCGCTACCATGCGCATACAGCATGTACTCTTCCAAGTTTAATTTTTTCGCTAATACGGCAAGATGCTGGTTTTGAACAATCGCTGCTCTGTAAGTAGCCAAACCACCTTCCTCCAAATCGGGGAACATATGGAACAGATGGATCGATGTGAGAAACTCGACCACCGCGTCCCCCAAGAACTCCAATCTTTCATTGTGCGCTATCGAAGACTCAGTTTCCGTTCTCGCCCCGAATCTTGACATTATATTGATCAACGTATTGATACCACGTTTCCGTGTATTCATATAATGAATTCGTCGGTCCCCGTACTCGGGTTGCCTTATCCCGCAATTGGTCAAAGAATTCCGCGCGTGGTCCGGATTTGTGCCAAAATTTTCACGGTAACTGGGATGCGTTAACGCTAATTGAAGGAGGTATCTGTTCTTAAATCGGTATCCCAATGTACGTTCTAAATTGTCCAAGGACTTATGAAATCTAAGGTGGCAAACAAGTACAGGGATTAACATGGCATGCTGCACTATATCGCACATTATTCCGGTTCTATAAAATCCTTCGGAACTAACATCCACGGTAACGTCACGCTTCATTTTACTCTGAGTTCTTAATTCTTGGAGCTTGTTCTCTTTCGCTTCTAGCCTTCTCTTATCTTCAAACGAAGGTTTCGGCATGTTTGCTAATAGATGACGAAATTTCACATAGTCCCTCCATGCTTTCTGATAGCTGTAATAAGCAATAAAAATGTGGATGTTGCGTATTTCATTAAACGAATTAGAAGGTTTTTGAGGGGTCCTATGGATTAGATGGTAAGGAAAGGATAGGGAGAGGTTTGGTTGTCCAGGTGGCAGGGGAGGTGAACCCCTACGTGGCGGATAGGGGCAGCCACTGGGATGGGATGCGGGGATAAGCTCATCAGCCTGAGAAGGCATTCCTCGCATCCTCGCATGGCATTCTGGAGGTTGGAGTGAAAGCTCCCGCGGACCAAACACCAGTATGAATGTGTTCTGTGTGTGTGAGTGGGTTGGGGGATGGGATATTTGCCATGGGTTGGCCAGTTAGCCGTGGGTGACTAGGGCGTTGATGACCAGGCGCCTGAGGATGGTCACCATAAGGTTTTAGCCAGTAAGAACTCGGCACTACTCCCTTCAGACAGCCCCACGAGTGTCCATGAGGATTTCTGCTAGCGGACTCATCGGTAAGGCATCCTAGCAGACCGTGCCTCAGACGTCAGAGTATTGGGAATCGGTCGAGGATCATATGGAAGGTTGGGTCGAGTGCCTGCGAGAGGAACAGTCCCTCTGGCGGCGAGTACAGGAAGCGACGTGGACCCCACGAAAGGGATAACTCACTTACTCTGCGTTTCCTGCATAACTAAGCTGCGGCGGTCTAATTCCAAAATGTACAATCTCGGGATGAGCAATTGCACCGGACGGTTGATCGGTTTGGCTTCTATCCAATTGATCGACACGAACGCTACACGGCTTTTTCCCCGGATATGTAACGATCATGCCCTTCACCTCATCGGCGAAATTTTGCCACTTATATTGCGGCATTTCTACTAACCTAGGTAGATCATCTGGATCTATTAACAGTTTACTACTTTTTATTAAATAATTTAAAACCTCGTTCATCGATAAGATTTCTTGTCCATTGTCGGCTAAGTCGCGTACGAATCTTGGCATAAAATGGAACTGTCCGCAGCCGGATTTATCTTGCGCCGCTTGTAAATCGAAATCTACGAGTTCCAATATTTCCTTGAACAAGTATGTTTCTGAAAGGGAAGTGTATGGTAATATATGGCGAATAACGTCCAAACTAATTCACGAAACATAACGATGAAATGATACTTACGAAAACAATCCAGTTCCTGGATGGTGAAATTTTCTGGCAGTTTTTCGTCTATATAAAGAATTGTATACTCTATATTAAATCTAATCACTTTGCAAGTCGGCAATTTTACTAGAGGAAAATGGGAGAGCATAGAGAATCCCTCAAATATAAATTCGTGTTCGTCGTGCTTGATAATTGTCGGTGTTTTGGTAAGAAAATTCGTTGGTGGACTAATGGTAATCCGATAATGACATAATTTATCAGCGTTATTCGAATTTAAATTGCATTTATTTATTGCACCTTCTCCGGCATAAATTCCGTGTCTAATTCCAGATCTTCTTGATTTCGCGCTACACCTGCATAACGGTCCATCGTTCATCTATAACATTCATAATTTATGAAATATGAAAAATGATTTACCATTGTCCAAGGCATAGAAAAGAATACACACTTCTCCAGGATCATTGAACCACATTTCAGGATGCAATCTTTGCGGATGCTGCTTCTTTGCCATTAATTCTTCCATTGTTCTGTCGTCCTCGTCCATCGAGCTATCGCTGTCGGAAGAAGAGCTGCTACACACTTCCGATTTGTGTCTGCATAGACGAGCTCTAGTCTTCCGCGGAGGTGGCTCGTAAGGAGGCTACAAAACAAGGAATTAAATATATTTTCAGATGTACAAGAACTCCTAACTGTACCGCAATAAATGTACCTGCAAAGCTCTTGCAGCCGTGGCTCTATCAATTAATACTTTCTTAAATAATTCGCACAATTCGTACAATTTAAGCGTGCCTCTCATTACTTTCGAATTACTTTCATCTCTACTATAATACAAATCTGCCGGCGCTGTACGCGTCCAGACTTTCCTTGCATTTTCCATAATACCTTCAGGCCCCATAGCAGATAACTCATCCATTTTCCTTTCCATATCTTTGCTAGTCGCGCAATAATCTTGCCTAAACAGAGTTACAAGATATAAAAAGTTACTTTTGCACATTTAATTTTGAAAATATTACCTATATTTTTCTAGAAGTAATTCCCTCTCCGTTAAATCCCTCTTACTAGAGGAACTATTACTCGGGCTACTGGCTTTAGTAGAGTAAGATTCTTGAGATCTTGACCTTTTCCTACTTCTGTGACTCGTAAATGATCTTTGAGAACGTGGTACGTAGGAATTGTTTCTCCTGTAAGACGATCTTCTATCCGAACTTTCTTCATTGTGCGAACGTTCTCTAGAGCTTGAACTATTTTTGTGGTATTTAGAAGGTCTGTCTCTTTGAGAGTCATATCTGGACCGATGAGGCGATCTACTAGATCTGGATCTACATTCAGGACTCCTAGATCGTTTGCTACTAACTGTACGACTACTGGAAGATTCTTTGTCCCTGTATCTCCATTCGGATTTTCTACTACTCGTAAATTCATTGTATTTATTGCATATAGACTTCCCGCCATCTTCTTGTACTTTGTTCGATTCGTTCCAAGAATTTTTATCACTTTGATATTTGTTCCAATCGGAGGAGTAATTGTTGGAAATCCATTCGGGGCTAGTACTATTTTGATAGGTGTTCCTGCTGTCCCAATTTGAATTAAAATTTCCAGCCACCGGTTGAGAATAACCGGAGAGTCCAAAATTTTGATTACCGTACTGCGTGTCTATTTGATTCTGATAAGAAACATCGGAATAAGAATTTGGAACTCCACTTTGGTAACAAGTTGCCACCGAATGATAGGATGAACCGAAATTGGTGGCTTTATTTTCTGGAATAGTGGACACTGGCACATTGTAGGACGGCGGTGGTTGTCTAAAATTTGGTGGCGGAAAACTTGGCGGTGGCACGGAATAATATCCCATGTTTTGTGGCTGAGAAACTTCCGAACTCCAGAAATAAGATTGGCCAGCATTTGGAGGATTTGCCATTTTCTATAAAATATACGTATTTTTCTATTATTTACTGTAATGAATACAGTGTTACGAAGGCTTACGAAGCTTTGCAAAGATGTATACGTGCCCCAACGATATTCGATCTTTTTTAATGCACTAATTCTAAATTTCAATGCTAAAAGAAAAGTGTAAAAGTAAATCGTTTATAGCACAATTTCTCTCAATCTTTTTTAATATTCGTTCAAATTGATAATTCTGTTAAATTCCATTCTGTTAAAATATTACTCTACATCGTCGAACGAATACGACACCTAACGGTACGCGAATAATTTTCCAAGTAACACCACCTTCTGGTTGCATTGCAAATGCAATTCAAATTCTTTGGAAACAATCAAACAATCGCAAATGACTATAATTAATATCCATGTAAAATTCTTTTATTGAAATAATAAACGTAAACGTTATTTCTATTATTTCAGATAACACATGCATAAATTAATATATTAATTACGTCGTGACAACAACGAAAGTTTTGAATTCCTTTTCCGAACAATATAATCTTTTATATTTATTACTATTCAAAGATATTCCATTCGTGAAACGTGTAAAACTTTCTAAAAGTTTTTTTAAACATTTTTTCGAATTATATTTTAAGATAATTTAAATAGCCAGTATCCAGGATATTTAGAATGATTAAAAATTTGTCGTCGCGTGGAGCAATGCTATAGTACACATGTTATTATTAGTTGGTCCCTGTATATTGTTTCTTAGAGAATTGATATTATTTATAATTTCAGGTAGCCATGTTGTAGCCGTCTTGTGCGTTCAACATCCAACATGGGCGTTTCTTTCGTCGTCTGCAAAGTGTCAAATACTTTGCGAGCAACGAAAATGCCCAGAGGCAGTGATAGATTTTAGCCGTGCAAAAACATCGGAAGATCGTTCGTGTTACCGCAGTCAAATGTATTCGAGTGAACGCTGGACACACGTCCGATCGAGAAAATTGGAATTTTACTCGGCGATAGCTATGACTCAGTACCAAACGGCATCCTCTTTAGGTATCCGACTTTGCTAGAAATAAAATCGAATAAAACAAATTACACGGCTTCCAACAAAATCAGAAATTACTGTCTCGTTCGTCGAAATCGTTTTGCGCTTTATTTAAATCGATATTCAAATAAGAGTATAAAATGAGAAGGTTATGCATCACCGTGAAACGAATATCACGATATTAAAATGTTTTAAACGGTGCGTAACTTTGACGTGAACGAAGAACACAAAGTTTAAGAATTTTTAGCGCAAGTACATCGTTTACATAAAGTGTGTATAATAGAAAAAGAGCGAATCGTCTTATACGGTGTTCGAATCAGCTGATTCCGCATTGACAGGAAATCATTGAATGCACACGGCATTCGACGAGCGAAGTATTTAATTGCACGGCGCAAAGAGTATTGATATGTAGAAAACATAAGTATATATCGTATTTTTGAACGTACAGTTTCTTAGTTATTTTTAAAAGTGAAAAATAAAAAGATGTCAGGATACAATTCAAGCACAGTAAGTACACCAAGAGGTGGCAATCTACAAAATCGTAATTCTCAAAGATCGACGCTTCTAAAAGTAGTGATATTGGGTGATGGTGGTGTTGGCAAGTCTTGCCTTATGAACAGATTTGTTTCCAATCATTTCGACGAGCATAGTTTTCACACTATCGGAGTAGAGTTTTTAAACAAAGACATTGAAATCAATGGAGAGGCATATACGCTTCAAATATGGGACACAGCTGGACAAGAAAGATTCAAGACTCTTAGAACTCCATTTTATAGAGGCTCCGATATTTGCCTTTTGACGTATGCTGTCGACGACAGAACAAGCTTTAAAAATTTAGCACTCTGGAGATCTGAATTTCTTTATTATGCCGACGTTCAAGAGGGATCTACATTTCCATTTATAGTTGTTGGAAACAAAGTAAGGAAAAAGGCATAGAAGAAAAAGGAAACTAATATGCAACAATACTCATGGAAACGACTGTTGTAGGTGGATGTTCCAGAACCTAAGAAACAGGTTTCTACGGAGGAAGCCCAAGCTTGGTGCGCGGAAAATGGAGATCCTCCATTGGTGGAAACGTCCGCAAAAGATGCAACCAATGTCGAAGCAGCCTTTGGTGCAGCTGTTGCTGCTTGGGCACAACTTGAAGCTAGATTAGAGCGTCCATTAGTAGAAGATACGGTTGATCTTTCGAAACAGCAATCTCCTCATCGTACAAGTTGTTGTATGCCAGTATCTGGTGCTGAGTAGGTTACAGATGGCAAGATTTTAAATATTTTTTATGTTTTCACAACGTAATGCATGAAACTTATTTCTCAAGATCCACAAGTACAATAAGGTAATGAAACAAGTGGTAACGAGATAAACACAACAAATAATCCTTGAGGTGCAAACTGACATACTTGGAATGGACCTATCAAATTTGTTTACACTTGAAATGAGTACATATGTTGCAAATTGAACCAACTCTTACAAGTGATGAATATTGTATTTAGGGCATATAAGGACATTATATTATATAAGTATAAGAATTTTATTCTTTTTTTCATTGACCTACACTACATTCTTCTTTTTTTTTTTTTTTACATTTTATCTGATTCCTCAAACATAATTCGTAACCATTGGCAACACCAATTACAAAATGTTTAAAAATTTTCATATCCGTGAAAAATATATTAATTTCGTACAAAAGTAGTAACAATTTAGTCCCGCCACTGCAACGACAATTTTGCACGTAACATGATTTTTCTTCTAGGTCTAACAAAATAATTTGAAGAGATACCTTGCCTGTCTAGGATACTTTCTTCACGATAAGGTGAATTTCAATGTTACAACCAGTTTTCTGTTGGTACCATTTATACATTTTCGTCTATTGCGTTTTAAATTTCAATAGCGATAAATATTATTTACGTTGCCAATGAATAACGTCCGTATAATAGCTTTACAAATTTTACTCGTTTATTTTCAACAGTTCGAGGTTTTCTTTCAGTCTTTCGGTAATATTTTACGGTTGATCTTTCCAGAATACAACTGTAAAGTGTAAGGTCAAATTGAACGTCCTACTCGTATCACGCTTTGTGCAACTTGTGAGCTACAGACAGTATTTTAAGTATTTCGTACATCATTGGCTTGTGATAAAATAATAATAATAATAATCATTATCATCAACAGCTTTATAAATAAGAGTTAGTATAAATTGTAATTTAGCATTGTAATCTAAATTTGCCTTATCCTTGCAGTACGAACTAAGGGCAGTGATGTAGTATATATTTATCAGAAAATGCTCTTGACCCCCCAGCCGCGGGAAACGCTCGTAGCGCGTTTCGCTTATTCTACCTTAAAATTTTTATGATATTTAAGAATCGGGAGTCGCTATTTCTACGTTGAATCTATTTTAAATTCTTCCGATACTTTCGCCGCGATCGTCGAATCTCAACTGATGTCGTAGACATTGTCAAAGCCACCTTAGAAGAAAATCGCCCGCGACTGGGGGGTTAATTATCACGTTTATATATACATGCATATGTATATGTATGATTTTTAAATATATATATACATACGACGAAATATAAAATACTCTGCTGCTCTTGGAATGGTCTGCAGTTGGTGTTTAAAGAGTTTCCTACAAAATTAATAATGTTATAAATATAACAAACGGAGCTTTTTGTACAATCTTGTACGCGTGGTACGCATTTCTAAAGCAATGTAACTTGTCCAAAAGCTAAGTTAATGCTTTAATAATGCTGTACATACTAAGCATAAAGAGTATGTAATGTCATTGTAATTTAAAAAAAATTTTTTCCAACGACAAGGCTCGTATTAATTATATGTGTGACATGCATGCTGGTGCTTTTTGTATAGCTACATGTGGGATATACATATAAATTTCTAGCATCGTATTGAATGTGTTGGTTCAGGTGTGAACTGCATATAAAATTTAATCATATCAAGGTGAAAATGTTTTCGCCGATTGCAACATGTAGGATCTGTTCTGCATTAATTGAGTATGTTTTGTATCGTTCGTCCTACATGAGTGTTATTAATAATTTTATAAAAATTACCTTTGTACAGTATACATTGCATTTATTGTAGTATATTTTACTTATTATTATTTGATATCTATCAAAATAGGAACCAAGATTTTTCATACTGTGTCGTAAATATTAATGTGTATTATCCCCTTTATGAATTTTATAATGCTAAAGATCGATTTTCCAAGAAAAAAAAATAAAGGTATTCTGTGCTTGTTTAAAATTGATAAAATATATTAGTGAAGTATCTTTGATACCTCGCTTAAATTTTTAACTACATATATTGATTTTTTGTATTCATATTATCTTATATTTTACAAATAACAGTAATTTCTAGATTACTTTCTAGTAATACAATTGTCAGTAACGTTACATTGTAACAGTACATCATGATGTAAGCAATATTCGAGACACCACTGCATACTTTTTTTTTTTTTAAACATTAAACTCGATCGAATAATAAAAGTGTGTAAAGTATGTTACAATACAAAATTAAGGGTAAATGTGTAAAGGTTTGGAGAAAAGTATGCGCGCATTTCACTTTTCTCATTTAAATTTCTTAACGATATTTACAAAGTAAATGTGATACAGTTTGTCCGTGTCAAAGATCAATCTTCCAATATTTTTGTATACAAGTTCGCCTTTTATAGACATTTATCCATCCAGTAATAATCAAACCATGCTCTTCTCTTTCAGCGAGTAACTGAAAAATGGTATTCTGTATGCATAAAATATCTATGCATAAGAATAAATTCAAACTAAAAAACTTTTCCTTCGTATATTTCCGTGGATACCATGAACTCGAGAAAATTATGTTTCCTGCACGTATCTATCGCATACAATCGATCGTTTTAGAATTTCTCTAATTTGTTATGAACCTTTGCGGTAATGTACACGTTATGTTCATTTTCATCATGATAACAGAATCTAATGTAAATACATTAACAGCTAGTGACAATGCTCGGTGACATCTACGATAACAGATTTTTTCCATCCGAATAAGAAGTAACCAATTGCTGCACCGAACACTACAGCTATCCCCAACCATACATTGTACGTCATGAAGATCAGCATGAGGAAATACGACAGCACGATTTGGACAATGTGTAAGAACGTTTGAAATGTATGCATCCATGACAACATTGTTGGCCTGCACAAATACATTACGGAAACGGATTAAAATCCTGATGAAATTTTTATTCGCTGAAATATGCAATATGTACAGTAATAAATCATCATGCCAAGCAATGGTATATAAAAGGAGAAGAAGAGTTGTAAAAAAAAATATAAAGCCTATAAAACACGAGTGTAGGAAAGAAGAGCAAGTGTGGTACCTAGAAATTGGAAGAAAGTGATTAATACATGCAAATAAAATAAGCTTTCACTACCAAGATGAACATCCCACTATAAGGGTTCACTGATACATAGAAAATAGAAGATTGGAAAGTGCAGCAGAAACATGTTATCAAAACGGGAAAAAAATCATTTAAAAAACAATTCGTTTCTCGATTACTTACGGCTGCTTGTGAATTACTTCGCCGACCATACTATAAAGACAAAATCAAATTTGACATTGTACATCAAACGCCTTATGTTGTGAAGCGAAAGTTTCGAAATTATGATATCCGTGTGAAATAGTAAAACTTACTGTATCACTCGATTATCCTCAGCCACGACGTTCTTTTCCGGCATCTTGACGCTTCTATACTGAAGAGCATTATACGTCTTCCAAAACAGGTATTCCCGATAATATTTCAAACCTTCGTAAAGCGCGGCCATGATCATAATACCGATCATCGATCCGATCAAGCCGCCGACCGACGAAATTTTCCAGGACTCGAACAACACATTTTCACAGTATCCGCCGTGGAATGCCATCTGCAAATACGATAATTGTTTATTAACATTGAAATTAATTTTTACAAGTAAGTTATACGTACCGACATACTATGCCCCATATTGGCACACGCATCCGTAGAGGCAGAGACATGATCCATACTACCATGATCCATACTGCCGTGATCCATAGAACCGTGCAACATATCTTGGTGCATTTTCGAATGATCCATGTCCGAATGGGACATAGAATCATGGGCAGTGAGGCTCCCCGATGCGTTCATCATGTGCGCCATGTGATCATGAGACATCTATATAAAGAAAGAAGATTCATTTTTTTCAAACATTTTCGAGACTACAATCTTATAATTTATTCGATAAACAAATACAATTTTATTCGTTATTCGATCAGCCCCCGAATGAGAATGGTCCATTAAGTTCGAAAGAATTCAAAGATGGCGGGTCGTTTACTCGTATACATATACGACGCTACTATTATAAACGTATATCTATATTGGGGCGGTAATAAGCCAAGCGAAGAGAATGGAATAAATCATGAGCCTCGTGCACGATGAAAAGTAGACGTGTTGAATTTCCAACCGCGAATAAAGTTTTTCCGTAACGTCGGCTGCGAATCACATCGACGACAGAAGGGAATTGTAGATAAGGCTGACACCTGTTGCTCGAGCGCTCGCCACGCTTCCAAAGAAAATAAACGAACGATTTAATGGGTATACACGGTGTAATCGACACCGCGCGAAACGGTCGATCCAATATTAACGAGGATCGTAATATAATTTTGCAACGAATCGCGGTTTCTTTTTATCAAATCATAGCAGAACACCGTTGAGTAATTAAAATTCGATCGCGATACATTCCGCAAACATTTTTGAAAAACCCTCGCCACGTTCGTTTTTTCCACGAACCGTTAAAGTCTCGATAAGTTATTAATTAACACGGTGGTTTTCGTAAAATCGTTCGTTCTCGATTAGGCAGCTTGCCAGGCTAACCGTGAACGAGTTTGGAACAGATGTATTAGAAGAAACGAGTTCATGACTCGTGGTCGCGTAGTTCGAGAGAACAAAGAGACAAGGTAAAAAAAACGCGAGCTCTCGGTACTTTCTAAAACGGATTTCTTCCGAGATAAATTCAATGGTCCGACATGGCGTGACCAACATTCCATTCTATACCCTAAACGTTATTGTTCACGGAATTTACAACGATTGTTTCACTTTAACAGTACCGTTCGAGGAAAAATTTTAATGGGGGATTCTAGAGGCCAAAATAAGACGAAAATCAAGAATAGCAATTTGTTAATAGAGGCTTCGTTAAAAAGTTATTAACGTTTAAAGTTCCGCCTGTGGAACGGCAATCTGCGAACTGCGTGCCTTAAACTTTAAACGTTAATAACTTTTTAACGAAGCCTCGATCAACAAATTGCTATTCTTGATTTTCGTCTTATTTTGGTCCCTAGAATCTACCATTAAAATTTTTCCCAGGGGTGTAGCTATGGTTTCAAAACTTATTGGAAGGCGTGTTAAAAAAGATATATATATATTTTTCTACATTAATGCTCGCCCATTGATAATACTAGTGTAATTTACGTGTTGATTGCCACGGCAATTTTCCCTATCTAAATTTTTCCTCGAACATGTTTCAAATTATAACGTGACAAATAGAAGTATTCAATAGTTCAATGACGTTTATGTATTTATATTTAAATAAATGGATAGCTTGTAAACGCAATGGGCACGTGGCCATCGAGGCCGATATAATATTTTATTTAAATTATTTAGTCGTACTTTCATTTTCATTCTTCCAAATATAATCTGATGAGATACGTTTGGTAAAACAAATCGTGAGAACGTTCAATCCATTTTACATCTATTTTATTTTTGATAATTTGAAAAAAGAAACAAAATAAATGGTTCAAAATATAATAGAAATTTCATGTTGTTGGTGCTTAGCAACTACGTTTAGCAATTATCGGTTAATTGCACCTTGTTCTTAGTCAACCTTGAGGACGTTTAATGAGCACAATTGTCGATCCCTCGATCGGTTACGAGTCAAAAACGCGATAAATTTTACGCAACAGAGGACAACGGTATCGATCAAATTGACCGTCAACAAATTTCGAAAAAAAAACAAAATTCGATTAGCGTCGATGTAGCAGAATTTGAACGTGTGTTCGAAAAATATATTGCAGCGAGATTAATTTAGCGACGAGTTGAAAACAACTGGGAATCTTTGCGATAAGGCACCGCGCTATTATGAATTAATTGCGGCTAACATATTTTTTCCGCATAAATCGTGACCGATTAAATCGAAAATGGTATTAACTAATGTCATTAAAAAATAAAAAAATAAAAATTATTTTTATTAAAAAAGTAGTCGACGGATCGAGTAAGAAAAATGGCCCGGGGAGTCCCGTGTCGGTGCATTGTCGACAGTTCCTCGCTCGGCTGGAATCTTGATATTGAAATACCAAGATTCCGCGCGATGAATACGTATTATAATTTTCCTGGAAGAGTACGTACGAATTATTGATTAATTCCGGTAAAGTGCAAGAATGCATCGACACGTTAAAAGCGCGAAACGAAAGAGACTACCAACGGCATTACGGACCGCTTTCGTCGCATTAATCACGGTGAATATATCGTTGCATTAAACATCCTGTAGATGCTGATTTAACGCGTCGACATTATGGTAACGTTAGGTAATGTAAAAACAGAGTGACCGGGAGTAGACGATATTGGTTTCAATTGAATCGATGAGGGTTAATCGCGATTAATTAACGCGCGACACGTCGATGCAGAGATTTTCACATGAAAAGTAGTTCGAGCGATAAGCGTCAGAAACGTGAATCACGTTTCACTCGACGAAAAGAAATATTTACAAACGGATTATAACGTAACTGAAAGGGCATGTCACGTGAATCTGTTCCGACGCGTTCTCATGGAGACTGGAGAATTTCGCGATACATTCACTTATTATCAGTTCGAGCTATCTCTGTACCGAGTATCTGTAACATATGTCATTCGCGTACACTTCTAAATGACAGTAATCAAAGTACGTTCGTTTTTGAAGAACAAAGGTGCTTCTTATTCTCACCGAAGAATACGCGAACGAGTTGACGCGTCAGCGATACTCTAAACAGAGTTAAGATTACAATCATGTTAAAGAATGCGAAAGTTCTGTTACGTATACACCACTTTCTTACTGCACTCTAGTAGCATGAATGTAGTTGTCGATGTAGGTCGATCGTTTAATTCGCGTTTAATTTATACGATGAAAGAAGAGTAATGGTACGCGGGAATGAAAACGTTTTGTTAGAATTTTAAGAACAATTATGTCGCTCTGCGATAAGTACACGTTAGATTGTTTTTATTTGATTATTGTACGGTGATTGCGTCTGTTACTCACCTTCGATGAAAAATTGGGGTTATGTCACGCACGAGATGCACCTTATCTCGGAACAACGTTTGGACGCGAGTTTGTCAAGTTAAACAGACACGTTTATAAATTTGCCTCCATGGACGGTCGAACAACCTCTTAGAGATACATTAATAAACTGCACGCAACTTTCTCGGTTTCCTCCATCGCCGTGGATGTAAAATAACGAAGACTCGGCCGAATACTTTTCCGCAGGTAAAAACGTGACACAGGAATAGTAGTGTTTTACGACAATAGATGGCGCTCTTAATATGCGCAATGCATTTACTGTTGTTTTAAATGCAGCGACGTAAAGACTGCGATATAATTAATAAAACTATACGAGTGTTGAAAATTGATAAAAGGGATTCATGTTTTGATTCCACGGAATTGTTTACGATCGTGGTATGACATAAAATACACGTATGGTTTCTTTGAACGTAAAATGGCGCCAAAAATAAGCGTACAGTCCCGCTGAAATATGGGCACAGACAAGATATACGATAGACCATGCTTCTTATGGGAGTTCGTATCTCACGAACTGAATTACCGACCTAGTTGTTTAACCCTTTATGGGCAAAATATTGTTTTGTTACTTTCTAAGTGCGTGATGTATTTTCCAGAGGATTTTCAACATTTCGATGGTACTTACCAAAGTGATCTTCAAACAGATAAAGTTTTCGAACATGGAAAGCAATAATTGCTTGTTAGATACATTTTGTTACATCTGATCTTTCTCGCTCAAATGTTTTGTCGTATGGAATGCTTTATTTCTGTTACATAAATAGAAAACATTGTGTTTAAATACATTTTTGCTGGAAATCGTGTGTAACAGTATAAAGAGAGTGTTATAATGGTAAATCGTGAAATATCTACGTTTCCGAAATAAATTTCCTTATTTGTGACTCTGTCTGTGTTTTATCTAAACCGCAATGACCGCATACAAAAATATGTTTTTACCAAGAAACAATTTTCATGGTGTATTACTTTATTCTTACATTATGTCGCAAACAGACACGATATGTAATTAGTATATGATAACAGTATCTGCTGTTAATGTATATATTCTTCTCTCTTTTGATAAGATTTCATGCGTGAGTCAATATTGAGCCAACATCAACCTATTAAATAGGTTAACATTATTTTAATTCATAATGAAAGTTTCAAATAAGAAATATCGAAAACATTTTAATCAAAGAGAATCTATATACTTTGTGCCCCTAATTAGTATGTTCTGAAAAAGAAACATAAAACATCTCTCTCTCTCTCTCTCTCTCTTTCATTTGCTTCGGAAGCCGCGAGAGGGACCCATCCCCCCGCCCCCTCAGTTGCCTACGTGACGTTGGCGTCGTCATATGTTCGGTGAAAGTAAACGTATTCGTGTTTGTACCTGTCTGGAATCTGGCGTATAATAAGTAACGTTACTTTTCACCTAACAATATCTAGACACTTCTAATCTCTATTAGGAATAGAAATCGTGAAAACAGCTGAATCGGTTTCGCGCCTTTTTCTTGATATCTTGCCGGTGTTAACTGTCATTATATCTCTCTAAATTACAATTTCTTAGAGTATATTTCGAGTTTAATGGTTGTTTAATTGTGGTACGAGTGTATTTATCGAATGCATTGGATCGTAATTCGTATTTTATTTCTGCTGCAAACTCGAATTCAAAGAAAGACGCCATGATTGCTAACGTAGAATTTGGCGCGAAATATTGTACGAATCTCGATGGCGGGAAGAATCGTCATTTGTACGGTAGGAATATAGGTCGTTAGGAATTGTGAGGGTGGTTGGGATTCGGTTAGGGCGGGTCTCCATTCGCAGCAACCTCCTTGTGGTGAGACCTGGGCAATCAATATTAATTTGTGCGTAATTAATAATCGTATCACTCAAGTGGGTAATACAATTACTAATTACATAGAAAATAATTTGAGCTAATGGCTGCGATCCGCCTCGCATAGGTTAGCATAAACATATAGCTCCTTGTCAGGTTTAGTTTTAATTCTCGTAGCTGGTAGCGCTGCAGTCTTACTTCGTTCTTTATCGATAACGGTGGTTTTGACACCGAAATGGTAAAAAGATTCTAGATGAGCATCCTTATTTTTTCTCTGAGTCTTTATAATTGTTGATGTTGGCATTTTAGAAATATCAGATATTCCTTAGACTTTCCTGGCCCAATCTGCCATACCGACCTGAAAATTCGGAGGTGATTTTAGCGGCCTCTTCTCATGGATAGCGGTCAGTTGAGAAACTCACTGAATTAGTGTGTTAGGCAGCAGCTAGCGCGTGTAAATGCATACGAGTTGAATAGTTCAAATTATTCGCGATTCCTTGACTAGTTAAAGTTGTAAATAATTTGCTAAAATCAGTCTATCCGCGGTTTCTAGATGAGGCATGCCCGAGGCACGGGTTCGTAATACAAGCTTCGGGCGACATCGGAGCTTCCCCACCCCGCCGCCTAGTTCGCGAGCATTGCCGAACACAGCGGACGGCCATCATTCATTGCTTCGACGTCGAGACGTATCGGTGTTCCGCGAGCGAGGTGCGTATTTCTAACCTGTTGATCTTTCCACTATTATTACTCGCGTTTTAATTACAATCTCTTGCAATACGGTTCCGATTTAATCATACTACTTAATTATAAAAATTCTTTCGTGTACTTTAATGCATCGTTATTTCGTTTCTGTTACAGTGTCTTATTGGAACTCGAAGTTAAGAAATAATAAGAGTTGTTGAAACCTGTCGAGACGTGTCGGTGTATTGCAACCAACGAAGTACGTATTCCTAACCTTTTGCTATTTCCTCGTTATAATCAATCATTGTTTAATTATGATTTAATTTGTATATTATTTCTGTTGCAGTCTCTGATTGAAATTCGACGCCATGGGAAGTTTCATTGGCGCGTAAAGGACACCATAACAGATGGCAGACGAGTCGACAAATTGTGGAGGGAATATTGGTAACATTTAAACAATTGTAACAATAATTAACATTCATATTAATATTTATACATTTTTATTGTAACTTTATTACATTATTCGTTGCAAGCGTGATTTTAATTTTATAATCGGTCATTGTTAAGATGAAATATTAAAATCGTTAACAAAATTTTTACCTACTTCGATACATATCGAAGTATACAGAAATGTCGGTAGATATTAACGATACATTGGAATAGTTCATATTAGACTGAATTCTGATCGCGATTGAATATTTCCGGCTGTTATTTATTTAATTGATCGTTTATATTTCTTTATGAATTGTTGTAATTGCAATTTGCATACATATTTCGATACAAGTTTCAGAAAACGTAGTAACTGCGAAATTGAAATATGCTATTCGAGCATAAATAACTAGCGAACTTTAATTCTTGCAAATTTCGGAATATTTATAAAAATTACGGGATATTCTAACGTTCGATACAGTATACTTAATCTTGCTTACAACTCTAATGATGAAATTTGGTGATATATTTATAAATTGAATAATTATTTCCGTAGATAATATTTTGTCGTTGAAATTCTCATTGATTGAGAATATTTCGCCTTCGTGGCAATGATCTTGTACGGGACAAACTATGTATACATCAGTACTAAGTTAAGCAGTGTTTTCGTTGTCGAACTCTAGCAAGAAGAAAAACAAAAATCGATAGGCAAAGCACAGACGTGCTTGTTGTATTTCTTGTCTCCTGTCCCTTTTCTTTCAGCTCTTTTCTTTCCAGGAAATTTGTTGGCCGAGCGCAATGCGGCCGGTAGACTCTGTGATTGTGCGTAGCAACAAGTTTGTTTTTCGGGGCAAAGTGACCCCAAGCACGTTATCGTTCGCGGTGTTAGACAAACGCGAGAATAGAAGCAGTGTTTCTTACGCGGTATTAAATTATTTCCAGAGCATCGTGGCTCTTCTAGTTTTCTGAATCGCGATAGTAGAATCATTTGTTCGCCGATTTCAATCTTCGGTCGCGGTATTCTAATTTATTACTTTCTAATTAAATTAATTATTTTTTCAATTTGAAATTTAAACTCCTCGTTACCGGAATTAGAGTCAGTGCATCACTGAAGAGGACTATTTGGCGATGCTCCACGAGCAAACGATGTAAGTATAAATTTATACTTTGAAATTTTTAATTAAAAATCTCTACAGTTTTAACGATAGATTCTAATTGTTTTCTTACAGTTTTCTTACAGTTTCTGAACCTGATCTTGGTATCCAGCAGCAGTACCCGGGGCGGTATCGGGCGGTGGACCACGAGCGAACAACGTAAGTATAAATTTATACTTTGAAATTTGTTAATTAAAAATCTCTATAATTTTAACAATAGATTATAATTGCTTTCTTATTCTTTATAGCAGGACCATGCAGGGGGCTCTGATGACTTCCACTGGGCAGCAGCAGCATCATTATGCAGTCATCCCAGAGGTACAAGTTCATCACTCGTGAGTCGCATGCTATTTATGTTCCTCTGGTCCCCAACCATGTTGTAGGATGAAAGATCCGAATCAACACGGGTGACCAGTTGTATACTTAGTATTTTTGACGAGTTAAGTGACCGCGGGTATGAAAAATACCCATGAATTATATATTTTTAGTGCAGGCTAGGGTCTTCTTGCACTCGCGTTTTTTAATGTTATCAATAAATATTACACAATTTTATTGAGTAGAATATGAATTAATATAATGTGAAAACATTATATTAATCGTACAATTGAGGAAAATATCTTACATTATCAATATAGTTATTAAATATTCGTTTTATTAATTAATACATCATATGATGTATTTTATGTGCAAGAAGGCGTTTCGCGACTGGTCGATTTTGAACTCAAAGGAACATGCATGTTAATTTTATTTTTTAAAATTTACTTTGACGACAGAATCGACCAGGGTTAATTGAATATTTTGAATAATAATTTAATAAATTTATTTCAATTTGCAAAGTAGATTATTTTATCATGATATCTTTATTAGAGTCTTACATTTTGAACAATTCAATTTCAGTCACAAATTTTTCTTGAATAGTAATATCTTTCAATATTAACGTATTTTGTTGTTGATATATCACATATAACGAGTCGAGTCATTTTAATTGAGAATAGATACCGTTTAGTTAATTACTAATAACCAGCTTTTCTAGTCAGGATTTTCAGGATACTTTTCCGTGTTCGTTGCCTAAGTTCGTGCACATGCCCAAGTGTTATTTGCACGAGC